TTGTCCCCCAGCCCAGAGCACTGAGTGCCACGGCCAGGCCTGCCTGGGACACCTCCAGGGCTGGGCACTCCAAACCTCCCTGGGCAGCCCCTGCCAAGGCCTCACCACCCTTGCCAGCAACAAATTCCTCCTCAGGGCCAACCTGAGCCTCCCCTGGCACAGCTTGAGGCCGTTTCCCCTTGTCCTGTCGAGACAAGACTCTCCTGCTTTAGGAAGGGCTTCAATTGCTCTGGTGTAAATTGCTCTGAGCGCTCGAGTTTCATCAGGTACCTCCAGCTGAATTAAGGAATGAACCCAGTTCCCTGTGGAGAGGAGCCTGAAGTGTTATGGAGCCCACATATAAATACACAAACTGCAGAGCAGACATTAATTATGGCAGGTTCAGAACTGCAATAACTCAGAGCAGGACTCAGCCAGGGCACGGAGCAGGGAAAAGCTTTGGGGTTAACAGGGAATGGAGAGGGGAATGGAGACCCTAAATCATCAAGAAGGAGCCTGAGCAAACCCGGTGTGGGCAGGGGTGATCTAATGGTGCCTGGCTGCTAAAATCATAACCCCGTGTTGTTTTCCTTTGCCGTGCAAAGGTTAAAATCGCCGCAGGGAAGGATTTTTCCCAGGTGCGGGGTCCTGGTGCAGCCCTGCCAGGCTCTGGATCTCCTGGATCAGTGGGGACATCTAGTGACAGGTGGCTGAGGGCTCTGCTGCCTCACACCAGTCCTCACAATCAGCTTAAAGCCTCTAGGAGAAAACGGAGCTTTTTTTTAGGGAAGGTGTTCCCAGTTTGGGAGCTGCTGCAGGTTGTTCTCCTCCAGCAGACATGGATGTTGTCCTCACAGGAGATCAAATTAATCAGAAGATGAGCAGGAACCAACTTGGGTTTTACCCCACGGGCTCATCTCCGGGGGGATCCTTGTGGAAGCGAGGGTTTGTTGGGAATTAGGCATTCCCTGCTGCTCGAGGCAAACGTCAGTGCCCACATTTGTGTTTCTCCAGCCAACATTTCCTGCGTTGGTTTGGCTTTTTTTTGGCTCCCTGCTGAGTGATTTGGACCCCCCAGAGTGACCCAGTCCTTGTGAGGGGTGATCCTGCTCTGGGGGGCCGAGCAGAGCGATGTGTGACTGCGGTTCATTCCCATGGGAGTTTATTCCCAGGATTTCAGCAGGAGGGACTTGTGGGGGAACTGCTGTCCCCACACGGGGTAGGTCAGGAGTGGCTACAATCCCAGCCAGGTTCTGGGGGATTCCCCCATCCTGGGGTGGGAAAGGCTCTGGATTCCTTGCCAGTGCCCATCTCCCCTGTGTTGGGGAGGGGCTGCACAGGACTCCATCCACCCCTCAAAACGGGCATTCAGACCTGCTGAGCCCCTTCCCTCCTTCCATAAATCTGATGGAAAGATCCTCCCCTACCTGAAGTTTTAGAGACAACATCAGGTTGGTGACAAATAAATCCATCTGTGTAAGAAATGGATATTGGCTTACTCTGGTGTAGAGGGAGCAGATTAGACCTGGGCACTCCTCCTGAGCTGGGAGCCCCAGAGCAGCACACAGCACCCACCAGCACCTTGGTGACATCCAAGTGACGTCCTGGTGACACCCCAGCCCTGCACAGCCTCCACTGGCACAAAAGTGCATTTGCTCAGAGTGGCTTTTTTAATCCCAGAATTAAAGAAACTCGATCAGCAGCACGTTCTGGTTGGCCTCTGGGCTGGGGGACAAGGTGGGGATGGGGCACAGGGGGGATCCATGGGCTGGGAGGGCTTTTCCAACCTCAGGGATCCTGGAACTCTGGTGTCACCATCCCCACACAGACTGTTTTCAGGAGAGACCAAAACATCCCTGACCAGAAGGCCCAGCTCATGTTCCACTGGCTTTCCTTACTTTCCTGGTGGTGATTCCCAGAATCCACCATTCAGCAGAGCCACTTCTGCTGGAACATCTGCAGGGAGGATAAATCCAGTGAGGAGCAGGAATAAGACTCGTGCAGGCAGTAAAAACGCAGACTTTGTGCACGAGGACCCCTCTGGGGGGGCTGTCGAACACTTGGTCTGGGTTACTCTTCTCCTTCTCCCGTTGCAGGAAGCTGGAGACAACAACCAGTTCTGCTGGAGGAATCTGTTCTCCTGCATCAACCTGCTGAGGATCCTCAACAAACTGACCAAGTGGAAACACTCCAGGACGATGGTGAGGTGACATCCCATCTCCCTGAGACCTCTAGGCCTGGCCATCCTGGAGCATTTCCCTGGTTCTAAGCCTGGCTTTGGCCATCCTGGAGCGTGTCCCTGGTTCCAAGCCTGGCTTTGCCCATCCTGGAGCGTGTCCCTGGTTCCAAGCCTGGCTTTGCCCATCCTGGAGCGTGTCCCTGGTTCCAAGCCTGGCTTTGCCCATCCTGGAGCGTGTCCCCAGCTCTAAGCCCAGCCTTGCTGCTGGGCATTCCTTCCAGCAGTGCTGGAGCTTCTGCCCTTCCTCACCTGCCCTTTTCCCTCTCACTGGCTGAGCTTTAAAGACATAAAATGCAGAAATACCTCTTCTCCTGCCAGCAGCCCCGTCTTTGCCTGACGGGCAGCAGGCGTTGGTTGTGCTGACCCGTCCCATCTGCCTGGTGCTGATGGCGGTGTCTGTGGCCCCGTTGGTGCTGTGGGTGCCCCAGGTGGCCCAGGCAGAGCTGACGTGGCTTCCCTGCCCTTCCCATCCCGATTGCCGCGGGTCCCTGGCAGATGCTGGTGGTGTTCAAGTCGGCGCCGATCCTGAAGCGGGCGCTGAAGGTGAAGCAGGCCATGCTGCAGCTCTACGTGCTCAAGCTGCTCAAGATCCAGACCAAGTACCTGGGGCGCCAGTGGAGGAAGAGCAACATGAAGACCATGTCGGCCATCTACCAGAAGGTGCGGCACCGCATGAACGACGACTGGGCCTACGGCAACGGTGAGTGAGTGCCCCACACCCCTTAGAGTGAGTGCCCCACACCCCTTAGAGTGAGTGCCCCACACCTGTCAGAGTGAGTGCCCCACGCCCCTCAGAGTGCCCCACACCTCTGGGTGCCCCACACCCCTCAGAGTGCCCCATGCCCTCCCGGTGAGCAGCCTGGAGCTGCTCCATGGGCAGGGAGCGGGCGGATGGCAGCAGGAACGGTGGGAATCACGGGGTCACGGTGGGAATCACGGGGTCACAGTGGGAATCACGGGGTCACGGTGGGAATCACGGGGTCACGGTGGGAATCACAGGGTCACGGTGGGAATCACAGGGTCACGCTGGGCCGTGGGCAGTGTGGGGCTCCCCGACAGGAGTGTCCCCCAAGGCCAGGCCTCTCCTCTGCACTGCCAGTCCCTTTGTGACACCAGGTCACCGAGCTGTCCACAGCAGGGACACCTTCCACTATCCCAGGTCGCTCCAAACCTGGCCTGGGTCGCTTCCAGGGATGGGGTTTTTAATGAGGATTAGGTAGGAAAATCGGGCAACATTCCTGTTTCAAAAGGGAACACGGCAAGGAGTAAAAAGCCTGACATCTTCCCTTTTTTTTTTTTCTAGAAGACAAAACCATTTGAATTCT